GGCTGACTCACCACCCTGGCACTTCCTCCCCGGTGGCGGCGGGAAGGGGAGGGAAGGGCAGCGGAGGGCCCCCCGAAACCGGGGAGGCGGAAGCGCCCGGCCCCTTCCTAGCACCACCTCCGGGAAGGACGCGTTGAACTCCGGGGGAAGGAAAAGGCGGCTGGAGTGAGGAGATCCCCGCTCGGCAAAGCCCCCGGCCCGCGGGGCTGCGTCCCGGCACCGGGCGCCGTCGTCCGCCGGGATGACTCCCCACCGGCCGGCGGGGCCCGTCTCACCGCCCTGGCGCGGGGCTCTCTTCCAGAACGTGCTGGCCAAGGCGCTGTACGACAACGTGGCCGAGTCCCCGGACGAGCTCTCCTTCCGCAAGGGCGACATCATGACGGTGCTGGAACGCAACACGCAGGGGCTGGATGGCTGGTGGCTCTGCTCGCTCCACGGCCGGCAGGGCATCGTCCCCGGGAACCGCCTCAAGATCCTGGTGGGGATGTACGACAAGAAGCAGCAGCAGCAGCAAGCGCCCGGCCCGGCGCAGGGGCAGGCACCACCGCAGCCGCCGGTGCCCCAGCCGGCTCTGCCTTACCACCACCAAGGGGGTTACACCCCACTGTCGCCCGCCTCGCAGTACACACCCATGCACCCTGCTTATGCCCCCCAAGGGGACAATGTCTACCTGATGCCGGTCCCCAGCAAGGGACAGCAGGGTCTCTACCCGGGCTCGGTGCCCACCGGACAGTTTCCGCCTGCCCCGGCTAAGCAGCCACCCGCCTACCCGAAACAGACGCCTCCTCACGCCTTCCCCAGCCCCGGCCAGGAGATCTACCAGGTGCCCCCCTCCCTGGGCCAAGCGGCAGAGGCATACCCCGGGGGCTCTGCCAGCCCCCCCCAGGACGTCTACCAGGTTCCTCCCTCAGCCGGTCAGGCTCAAGACATCTACCAGGTGCCCCCGTCATTGGACATGAGGAGCTGGGAAGGGCACAAGCCCCAGGGAAAGGTAGGATGGGGGTCCTGGGGGGGTGGCAGCGTGGTTGCGGGGTGCTCTGTGGTCCACGGTGCAAGGGCTGTGGGCTTGGGCTTACCTGCCTGCTGCTGTCTCTTGGAGCAGAAGGTCCTTGTGCTCATCGCGGGGGGTGTGGGGTGTGGACGTCCTTCCCCATGCCACTGGCAGGAGCAGGCACGGTAGGGGGGTCCCTGCGGTGGCTGGGGTGCCCAGGTTGATGTGGGCTACCTACCTCGGGGCACAGCGTTTGGCACTTGGGTCCCCTTGGTCTCTCACATGGGCTCTGCCAGTGTCACTGAGGGCACGGCAGCCGTGCCTGGGGTAGGCACGGGGTGCTGGTAACCCAAGAGCCGCTGAGAGATGCCCCTTGGCCGGACCCTGCAGCTATGGAGGTAGCTGTGGTTCCTGGCGCGGTGCTGAGATGTTTCCTCCCTCCTGGGGGCACAGGCAGGGGCAGGCAGCTGGTGCCAGCGTGCCCTGGCCACGCCAGGGAGCCTGCCAGTGCTTGCCGGTTGGGTTTGCTGGTGAGGCAAGGGTGACCTACCAATCTATCCCCAACATGGGGATCCCAGTGCTGGGCTCCTCCCGGCTCTGCCACTTCCCTGGCACGTCATCCGGGGGAAGAAGAGCGAGGTGCTTTCGGTATCTTGTTTTCCGGGAAGGCTGCTCTGACTCGCACCTCTGGGAAGCAGCCCGTGAGGGGGGGCAGCTGCCAAATCATGGCCAGGGCACGGGGAGCATCCTAAAAAGGAGCACCAGCCTGGCACCTCTGCTGGTTGCTCAGCCCTTCTTGCCCCCTGGTACCGGCTGGGCAGGGTGCCGCAACACTCTGGGTTTGGTTATTTGCCGCTCTTGTGTCACCACGGTATGGCGAGGTGGGCACCGAGCCATGGGCAGGGACCTACCAACGCCCCGTGGGCGTTGGCAGATCCCT